CAGCCAGTCGGCAGTGCTCGCCGTCCGCTCCCGCGGGCTCCGCTGTCCCGGGCCCTGCTGTTGCTCCTGCGAGCACCGCGGCGCTGTCCTCCGCCGACCCACAGGAGCGGGTGGACTTGCCCAACTGTCCCCACCGATTTCACTCCTTGCAGGAGCCCATTTGGGTCCCAGTTTATAAAATGGATCACTCTGGGCAGTAGCTGCACAGGTATGTCTGTGTGCATCGGGAAGGGAGGGGGCGTCGACCGCCTTCTCTCTCTCCGCCTGTCTTCTTCCTCGTCCGTAGAAGCATGGATCGATCACGTGTATCGAAAATTGTTGAATGCCAGCTTGCCGGCGCTGGATGCTGGGTCACCGAGGGCCGTTTTTTGAGCTCCCTCTGAGCCAGCCGGGGCAAGGGCATTTCTCCAGTAGCACTTCTGATCGATGCCATTTTTGTTTTGTTTGAAAGCAGGGGTTCGGACTGCTTGCCGTCAGCTCTCCCGGAATCCACAGCCCAGCGGGATCCTGCGGCCTCTGGCCACGAGAGAGCGACCTCGTGAGCTCCTGCGGGATCCCCTCGAAGGTCCACGGCGAGCTCTGCAGCCGCTAAGGAGCTCGGGGTCCTCGCAGAACAGGAATGTCTTTTCTTCCACCCCAAGGAGCTGGAATCCCTTCTTGCAAGTCGGTGCCCGGGGGAGGCTACGCACGAATCCTTCCTTGTCTTTTTCCAAGCTTATTTCAACAATCTGAGGCAATCTTGGCCGCAACCAAAGAGATTCTGACATCTGTATTTGAAGTTATTCCACATTCCCCCACTTTATCCATTGATTATAAGGCTGATCGGGGAGCGCGGGGCAGCCTCATCCAGGGGGCACCTGTGGCCAGGCAGGTCAGGCCTGCAGTCTTGCTTCCTCCAGATGGAGCCTGGGGAACCCCAGCTCTTCCCCGCCCCCTGCCACTCCCCCTTCTCTGGCCGTCTCCCCCTCTCCACCCTTTTCCCTCCCCCACTCTCCACAAACCCCACTGGGATCTAAACTATAACCCTTCCTGGGAATGGAACGCCTCTTCTTTCTCCTGTGGAGCAACTGGTGGTTTCAAACCGTAGACCTTGTGAGTAGCAGCCCATCGGGGTAGCCCTGTATGCCACATGGGGTCACTATGAATCAGATTTGACTTGATGGCAGTGAGCTTTGAGTTTTGACTGACCTATTCCGCCCACAACTGCCTGGCTGCTATGCAGGAGAGCCTTTCATGGAGTTGACC